GGATTTTATAGTAATTATGTTACAATTAAAATGTATTAAAATATTATAGTAATTACGTTACAATTAAAATGTATTAAAATATTATAGTAATTATGTTACGATTAAAGTGTAGTAAGATTTTATAGTAATTACGTTACAATTAAAATGTATTAAAATATTATAGTTATTATGTTACGATTAAAGTGTAGTAAGATTTTATAGTAATTACGTTACAATTAAAATGTATTAAAATATTATAGTAATTGTGTTACAATTAAAATGTATTAAAATATTATAGTAATTATGTTACGATTAAAGTGTAGTAAGATTTTATAGTAATTACGTTACAATTAAAATGTATTAAAATATTATAGTAATTATGTTACGATTAAAGTGTATTAAAATTTTATAATAATTTCACCACCCCAGTGTATTAAATTTTATAGTAATTATGTTACGATTAAAATATAAAAACAATTTTATTGTAATTATGTTACGATTACCAACAGTTATCCAAGCTGAGTATTAAATAGTTTCTTCTGATTTTTTTTTACTGTAGATTTTCTTAACGTTTGTTGCACCAGCTCCTTGTATGTGTTATCTATACTATTTTGTTATGAAAGTTCTTCCAGTTTATACGATTTGGTTTGTGTTTAAACACAAAGGTACATCTTGGTCTACTTGCGATGTGCCCACCACAGATATCAAAACCCATTTTTTAATGTGTAAGCCCTCAAGCTTACCGCTGAGCTACTAGGGGGCTTAATACAATTTGCAGCTACAGTACATGCAATTTATTAAAAGGCACATCAAAGTCGTTAATTTCAAAGCCCTGAAGCATTTCCTGTAAAGTATATATCTGTATACATATGATAGTACTGTCTGTTGTTTGTCCATGTGTGGATGGACCTTCACCAAAATTGATATGGAGGTTCATTAGGTCCAAGCGGAGGTACATACAAATTTTCAATTTTACATTTTGCGGTTTTTATGGGCGTTTTTGCGTTTCTTACCACCACCTGTGGATGGATCTTTACCAAATCTGATATGGAGGTTCGTTGGGTTCATGGAGAGATATATCCATATTTTCAGGTTTGCCTTTTGCGAGTTTTATGAGCGTTTTTCTTTTTGCCACTATTTGGCCCCCTTTATATGGATCTTCACCAAACTTGGTATGGGGGTCCATGGAGAGATACATAAAAATTTTCAGTTTTTCATTTTGCGTTTTGCGGTTTTTATGGGCATTTTCTACCACTACTTCGCCCCCTGTTGATGGCTCTTCACCAAATTTGTCAAGAAGGTGTGTTAGATGCATGCGGAGATACATGCAAGTTTGTGGTTTTACGTTTTGTGCATTGCAGTTTTTATAAGAGTTTTTTTTACAATTACATATAAGGGAACCAACTTTTCATGCCCACGTGTACTCCAGCTAGTTTTTAATAAATTGTAGAATTCTAGATCTTTTCTAAATTTTTGTGCCCCCTAGTGGCACAGCGGTACGCCTGCGTACTTACAACGCTAGAAACCGGGTTTCGATACCCGCGTTGGGCAGAGCACGGAAAGCTCATTGTGGCTTTATGCTTCACTTTAAACGAACAAAGACTAACTTTGTATCTATATATATGTCATCTATTATAATTCAAAACTGATTAAGATAATAAGGTAAGAACAATTATATGTTTTCATAATTTATAAAGGTATATATATTTTTAAATCACATTATTATTTATACCCTCAGTATGCTACAAATTAATCTTATAAAATGTTTTGTATTTAAGGTACCGATATTTTCTCATTTATTTCCAATCCAAATTAAATTTCTAAATATAACTGGTTTGTTTGTAATTAAGCACAAATCTACACAATGGGCTATCTGTGCTCTGCCCACCACTGGTATAGAAAACCAGATTCTAGCGTTGTAAGTCCGCAGACATACCGCTGTGCCACTAGAGAGCTAAATATAATTGGTATGCTTCTTTTAATTCTTCCACTGTTAATATCAGTTTTCCAATCGTTTGTCTTTTTAAAAGTGTGTGAAGTAATGATTTTACTTATTAAACAAATGTTTTGACTTCTTACTGAAGAGATTGTTGTTGTTTTTGAATTTCGCGCAAAGCTACACGAGGGCTATCTGCGCTAGCCGTCCCTAATTTAGCAGTGTAAGACTAGGGGGAAGGCAGATAGTCATCACCACCCACTGCCAACTCTTGGGCTACTCTTTTACCAACGAATAGTGGGATTGACCATCACATTATAACGCCCCCACGGCTGAAAGGGCGAGCATGTTTGGTGTGACGGGGATTCGAACCCGCGATCCTCAGATTGCGAGTCGAGCGCCTTAACCACCTGGCCATGCCGGGCCTTTATTTTATTTTTTTATCATAGCCGAGCCATTTCGGGATATCTGCTGTATCCACCAAGAGGAATCGAACCCCTGATTATAGCGTTGTAAATCCGTAGACTTAAACAACAGACAGGCAATAATATACTTCTTAGTTGTTGTTGTTGTTTTGAAGTTAAGCACAAAGCTACACCATGGGCTATCTGTGCTCGGCCCACCATGGGTATCGAAATCCGGTTTCTAGCGTTGTGAGTCCGCAGACATACCACTGTGCTGCTGGGGGGCATTTCTTAGCTAATTCTAGAATTTACACATAGATTTTAGTACAACAGCTTGTAAAAAATGATAATTTTTATGGCAATCTTTAATAAGCTACTTAAAGTCCATATTCGCTAATCGCCCTTACTTTTGAAGTTATATACCAGATAAAAGGTAGCTAGTTAACAGCACCCAACATTAACTCTTGAGCAGTTATTGTCTGAGCGAATAGGGCATTTGACTGCCGCTCTTATGACGCATCCACATCCGTACACGACTTTTTGTTTGTGGTAACGGGACGTGAACATTATACACACAGATCCATGGTCCGACAGAGTAACCACTGGGCCATGCTCAATCCAAGACTTACTAAAGGTGTTTATTTACTAAATTATGTTCTCTTTCTAAGTATTGTTTGTTTGTTTGTTTTTTAATTATGCACAAAGCTACACAAGGGCTATCTGTGCTCTGCCCACCACGGGTATCGAAACCCAGTTTCTAGCGTTGTAAGTCCGCAGACATACCGCTGTGCCACTGGGGGGCCCTTTCTAAGTAAGAAAGCAATTTTAGTTCGAATATATTCGGCTCATAAGATAACATCTTTTGAGTTTTATGAACAAACTGTTTTTTTTTTCTTATTACTCACATAACAGATCTAATTTAATGGTTTCATAAAGTCCATCTATCCAAATAAGTAAGTAATGGCTAAGTTTCAAGTTAATCACAATAACTTTCACTTTCAAAAAAATCCAACATGTGAACACGATTAGTATGTTTGTTTGTTGAATTTCTTGCAAAGCTACACGAGGGCGCTAGTCATCCCTAATTTCTCAGTAATAGACTACAGGGAAGGGAGCTAGTGAAAAGTTTGATTGATTGTCACATAATAACGCCCCCACGGCTGAAAAGGGTGAGTATGTTCGGTGATAGGATTCGAACCCGTGACCCACAGATTGAGACTCGAATGCCCTAACCGCCAGGCCAGAACGTGATAAGAAAGAAAACACTGAATGGAGATCAACAAAAGCCATGGAAATTAGGCTTAGTTGAAATAGAAACGTTGACAAATTATTGAAATATTCAGAATAATTATATAGATGGCGCAGAGTGAGAATTTTTAATTTTAAAATTTGCAAGAACTATTTCTTAAATGTCTAGATAATATTATAAAGATATTTTTACAAAAAATTTATTATTCTTTGTCAATCTGTGATATTTTTTATTAGGCCACGCTTCCTGAAAAAAAAAATCAAGAACTTACAACTATATTATTTTATTTTTCAGTTTTCAGAAATATTACCACCCGGTGCATGGTTTATGTTACATCTTCAATAGTCACTGGGAAGAAAGAAATTATGTTGGAAACATTTCACACGGAGAAAAGGAGAGTGAAACAATTATTGGTAAGATCGATAAGTGGATACATAAATATATATGTACCGACTGAGTAAAATATACGATACAGATGGTGTTATACGTTTTGTGCTAAAAAAAATGTTACGAATGAACTGAAACCAGTCTAATTATTATTATTTTTTGTTTCATAGTAATAGTTAGAAATAAAACAATTGTGTAGTTACTTTTGCCCCGCTCTGTGTTTATATAATAGGCTTACACAGGTTTGTGTGTGTGTGTGTAGACCTAACATGACCTGATGGTTAGGGCGTTCGACTCGCAATGTTCGGGTCGCGGGTTCGAATCATCGTCCCAGAACATGCTCGCCCTCTAGGGTTGCTGTCAGGACCAGCTTCCCGAGTGTAAAAAGTCTTAGCTAATACAAAACACCCGAGCGGCCGACCCCAAAATTAGATGGGTTGAGATCGAATGAAGAAGAAATATGTGTGTGAAAACCTGCTATTAAAAATTATGTATTCGGAAATTCCATGTAATTACTATTGAAACTACGTACCATAGTAATATCGGAGAACTAATGTAGGACATCGCGCAAAGCTACACGAGGGCTATCTGCGCTAGCCTTCCCTAATTTAGCAGTGTAAGACTACAGGGAAGGCAGCCACCCACCGCCAACTCTTGGGCTACTCTTTTACCAACGAATAGTGGGATTGACCGTCACATTATAACGCCCCCACGGCTGAAAGGGCGAGCATGTTTGGTGTGACGGGGATT